TCGGCCGCGTTACACGGCGCAGCGTCGACTTTCGTTTACGCGGAAACTAGCTGCCCCTCGTCTCATTTTCAGTGCTCAGGCGGCAAGGGGGAGACGGAGGGTACTCGAAAAGTTTAAGGCTCGTAATAAATGGCTCTCGGCGCCCCTCGTCCGCCGCGCCGGGGCCCGGCGCGCCCGGATATCATTAATTAACAGTAATTAACGCGCGCGCCGACCCCCTTCGACAAAGTTTCCGCCGACAGTCGCGCGTCTTGTCGATGAGGGATGAAATCCGCACGCGAACTGTTCCGATGAGTTTGGCGAGCTATGCATTGAGAAACATTGTCGACGGGCGGAAATCACGTGTAACGACTGAGCCGGGATACACTGTTCTTACATTTTGTACAACACCGCACGCGCTCAGTGAAAATAACGCGTCATATTTCACGAATCTGACGCGAGGAAAAGTACCCGTCGCCGGGAAAACTATTACGCGCGCGCGCGAAAGTTTAAACATAAAAATACATTTCACGCTCGATTAATGTCAATGAGAAGTAATGGGCGCGCGGGGTTGATCGTCCTGTTAAAGTAAACTTAAGCAACGGGACGGTTGTTCTGGATGTCGGCGAGATTGGACGTCATCGATTAGCGATAATTCAATGTGGGACATTAATTTTCATTAACTATCGGATATCGAACTTTGCTACCATGTTATGCGACCCTCAGATATTCTCGAAGGAGCCTGCACCGCATCGATTTTCCCCTGAGAGATCCAGTGTCCTCAATGAGGAGATAACAGCAAGTTTAAAGAGACTCGCGAGCTGAACGAAAATAAACTACATATCGTCTCTCTTATACCAAAGTCATGAATAATAGTTCAATAATTGAATGGTTGAATTAAAGTCTGAGGTGGAAACTGACTTTAGTTTCAACCAATTAACTATTTTACTAGTTTGTGAAAATTTGCGCATTCATGGTTTTGGCAGGAAAGAGACGATATATACAATAATTATCACGAGTGCTCTTGCGTATTAATCATGTATAATAATTGTATTGTAAATTGTAAAATGCTCATTATATTATCGCAACGTTATTTTGTTATTATTAACTCATTTTTAATTAACGAATAAAACGCAACGCCTAAAATTTTATATATTTTTAAATAACGAGTTTAATGTGCTTCTTTTGCTGTCAAGATTGCAAAATAGTTAGATGTCTCTCTCTCTTCCGTAGAAAATTTCTCCGCATTTTAAGTGAATTATGCTAACGAAGTCCATTAAAACACAACAAGTTGGTATCTGGGCGGCGAATTAAATTAGCTCTAAATAATTTGCCGAGTAACAAATTCTAAATTCATCTTCCGCGCCTTTAAATTCATCCACGAAGCAATCGCGAAATGTGCATCGTTGATGTCGAATCGTCATTGCGTGACGCGAACGGTTTGCAACGCAGGAAGAAAATGCACGGCGTTCTACATTTCGCGTAATATTCCTTTGCGATTTTTACATCCTTCTCGCGGCATTACCGAGAAGCGAAACGAGAACTTCGGCAATTGGTGAACGCCTAATTCGGCGCGATGGCGTAACAATTCTTGCGAATTTCATTGTCATAACTGCTCCTTGAACCCGCGCGAGCGTTCTGCTCGTTTCTCGCGAACGAGGCCAGCAATCGCAACACAGTATTTTTCGTTTGTCTGCAAATTTCTTTCTAACGTAATTTACGCCGTCGTAATGGCCGTCGTTCCGATAAGCGGTCGCATCTTCAGGTCAAGGAAAATGGACGACGGAACTTTTTTCGAGAAAAAGAGGTTGCACCTACGCAGTCGGTCGTAAACTGTTTAAAAAGTCGGGCAACCGTACAATTCTTTTAGGGACTATCGTTCTTAAAGGAAGACAGAAATCTACAACCTACGATTAAGATACGAGAAAAATAATGGGATTGTGAATAAAAAAAAAGGGATTGAATTAAATTATCGCCCAGAACAACGAAACGAGAGATAGGTATACGCCGGAAAACAGAAAGAGATAGAAAATTTTACTTTTACATCGACAGAAAATACAAAACAGTGGAAACTTAAAATTTATTTGATTTCCGCATGACTATTCCGCAAAGTAGCACAACACTCTGTCATCTGTTCCGAGTTCTTTGTCTATTGTCTGCTGAAGAAAAGGGTGAGAACAAGCCCCAGTTTTTTTCGCATTCGATTTTGGTCACGAAGTAGGTACCAAATGAAAGGTCTCGTCAACATGATCGCGGATATGTCAGTCTCACAGTGTGTACGTATTTAACGTTCCAGAGATATCGGGTTCCAAAAATTCCCAGGACGTAAGCGATGAAGCCGTCTGGACAGACACCAACCATTTGTTTGGAATGGAATGGAACCTTTGGAGCCCGATATCTCTGGAACGTTAAGTAGGTACACTCCGAGACTGACATATCTGTAATCAGCTTGACGAGATTCGACCTTCCGTTTGGCACCTACTTTGCGACCAATATCAAGTGCGAAAAAAATGGGGCCAATTGCCTATGGACTCTCGCTCTTTGAGAAAATTTATCTCCTACTCAGATCGTTCACATAATTGAATCCACGAAGACCCGTGTGGCGTATATCGTGGATCGCGTTGTCGCATCGAGTGCGACGGGAGAGAAAGAGGAAGATCGCGTGGAAGAAGCGCGGGGGAAAAGGGAAGAGAAAAACGGACAGGTCTCGGGGAAGCAACGCGAGAAAGTGTTTTCACCTGGCGAACGTGACTGTGTGAGGCCGCGATCGCCGTTAAGCCGATTTACGGGCGCACGTGCGAGAGTTCCGCGGGCGCGCTGAGACGGATAATGACGTTAAGAGGATCGACAGGAGCTTCCGCACTCACGTGTCGTGTACGCGAGATCTCCTCATGTTCGTCTTCGTCGCCGTGAGACACTTGACGTTCGCGTGCGTCGTGTCGCTTCGCGCCGCGACTCGCCGGCGACACGCTTCGAAGCGAGATGCATCCGCGATAAGAATCGACGCGTCGCGGCTCTCGCGGATGATAACGTCGTCGTCAATGCGCACGGGATTCTTTATCTCTCTCTTTCTTCCGCCCAAATCTAAATACGTAACGAGCCGGTGAATTTTTCACGGTAGCATAACCGACATCTTGGCTGACAATCGCGTCAAGAATGAAACAGTGTGTCGATTTGGTGGTTTTAATAACGAGATAATGGTAATTTTTATGGTGTTGTGTTCTTTTTGTCACAACGGTGGTCACCTGCAGTTTGTCATATTGTGTGACATGAATTTTGATTTGTAAAGCTCACTTTGGACGATCTATAATTCGCATCAGATTTCAAGGAATGGAAATCCAACACATTTTTTACTCATAATTTATGCCATACATGTTAATATGTCGAGTTTTTATATACAGGGTGGGCC